ATAATAAAAGGAATAAAAAAAATAATATTTTTGGCTCCAAAATTGTTTTTAATAAGAACTTATTGTAAAAGCCTACTAGGCTTTGTAAATAAGAATTTATCTAACATGCAAACGCAAGGAAGATTTTTATGATAATAACTCTGGTTAAAACAATTTACCATTGATATAGAACATATTAATGGTAGTAAAAATAGTTTAGTATGATATTTTAACTCGAGAACTTGCAGATGGCTTTCATATCCATAAGACTCACACCGCTAGAGAATGAAACACTTCTAGCAGAGACTCACGAAGTGCTGGACTTGATGACATAAGACAGCACTGAAATTATCAGAAAAATGCAAACACAGGGAAGAGTTGTTCCATGAATGAGCTCATTAGGATCATCTATTTAGTTGCCAAAACCTTTCTACGACTAGAAGTATTATATTTGTTTTTTCAACCCCCTTATGATATCCAAAATAAAATAAAAGAGTGTACTTTCGTTAAGTTATTTTTGAAATGATATGAAGAAAATGTCACCCATCTAAGAACTTAGTGGTGCTACTTTAACGGACGAATAGCCTTGTACAGTTATATAATGTCAAAGGTTTCATTTGATCTAGACAAGGTCATCAGCCCAAAAGATCATCTGGTTCAAATGTGAAAATTGGGAATAGTCAATGCATTGGATGTTCCACCTCATCTACAGAGTACCATGTTCTCTCAACTCACCAAATTGCAACAATTTGTGTTCAAGAAAATCTATAAAGAATGTCCAAGCATGGCACCCATCACATTTACAACTGCCTACACGGAGATGAAGGATGGACATCTAAGTGCAACTCATTATCTAATAAAAAGTAAAAGACTAGAATGACATGATCATCTACAAATGCGATTGGTTCAAAGATTGGGACAAACCTTTTATAATTGATCCAACAGAAGCAAGGGTAAGAGGGTTTTTCATAATATCTCACAAAATTACAGAATTGGCGAGGGTTGGGTTTAAATTAGTTCATTATAGAAGGACCACCATTGCAATAACACAATCCTTGATAGAAAAAATAATTGTTCTAGGATTGCCTTATGAATTAGTACATGATTACTTAAGACAGGTAGATTCGGGGACACATTTATCTGAAAAAGGATGTAAATTTTTAAAATATATATATATATATATATATATATATGATGGAGCAAGATCTAAAAAGATGGGAAAAAAATGTTTGAAGAATATGATGAGAACTATGACCTTAGGATGTCATGGGTGATGAGAGGGTATAGAATCTAGAAAATGCAATAGATTGACAAAATTATGGATAGATTTGCAAAACCAAGGGCTGAATGGGCTACACACTTATGTGACACTCCACCAACTGGTCTTTTTTTCCTCAATAACATTTGATCACCTGACCACAACCATATGTTTGTCTTCTATTTAGTTTCTATCAACTATAAACTATAATATGTAAATTATTTTGTGTTTATAAATAAGGTTGAAGTCTAGACTTAAAGTCGACAAGTACTTATATAAAGGCCTTAAGAGAGAGCAAAAAGGGATACAGATTACTTGGAGTATACTTGAAACTAAGAAAGAAGTCTGGTTCTCAGGCCTTCTTAAAGCAAACAGTACTCTAGCAATCTAACAGTCTACAAGAACCATTTTCCTTGTAAAGTTTTGTTCAATAAATAAAAAGTTTTTTATTTTCAAAAAAAAGTGTGTTACTATTGTATGTCAAGTTATTGATCGTGGGTCTCTTATATAATCAAACAAACAGTTTTTGAAGTTACGATATGAAATAGGAAACGAAACAGATCTGTACTAAGTTTGATCTAAGGAAGGAAATGTTGAGGTTAGCTATCTCTGTAACCTAAAAACCTGCCAACACTAGAATCCTACGCCGACTACGTTCAAGTAATAATCAAAATCTTTAGATACTGTTTTTATTTTAAAAGTATAATGGGATATAAAGTTTACGAGTATTGCAAGGGATATAGAGTTTACTAAAAATAGAATTGAGAAAATAACACTAGAGATCCTATTCTATCAACGACAACTAGATTTAATATTTAAAAAAAAAAAGAGGAAAATATATATATATTAAATAAATTATTATTTCCACGTCACTGTCGCATCAAACAATCCACATCATTTGGGCCAATACGGAGGGGACATTGTCTCGGGCAAATTTAGCACCACCCTCAAAAATAAGGAGCAACAATAATGATTCATCCCACTAAAAACACCACCACTAATAGCACTAATGCATTAAAAAAGTAAAAAAAATAAAAATAAAATACAACTCCAAGACCAAAACATCACATCATTAATGACGGGACCCACTGCCACCTAATTAGTGAGAGCACTAATTAGTGCTCCCAAGCATTTTTCTTATTGGAATAAATTTATGTTTCACAAGATAATAATTTTTTTGTAATGAATTTAAATTTCACAACTACAATATACTTTTGATTTTACTGAAGATAATATTTGATTTATTACAAAATAGATAACATCATTTTATAAAATAAAAATTTTTAATTTTGTCAATTTAAACTCTATTTTTTTATTTTTTTTAATGTAAATCATTTGTCTATTTTTGTTAAGTAAAATGGATGAAACAAAATATTTTAGTTATCAAACTCAATATAAATGTATAAAAAATATCTAAAATATTATTTTTATTGAGTTTAATGATTAAAATATTATTATTTTCATTAATTTTACGTAATGAAAATAGATAGATAGTTTAGATTAAAATAAATAAAAAGATTATAATTTAAATTGATAAAATTAAAAATTAAAAATTTATTTTATTATAGGGTTCAAACCCTTGGATTTTTTTTATTAATAATTTTCCCTAATAATTTTTCTGTAATATAAGAGGGAGTTGCATAGCATGGCTCTCTTTTTTCCTTTCCCTTTTTGTCCTTATCTTTTGTTTTGTGTTTTGTCATTTTTTTTTGCTTCGACAATTTCGTAATTTTTGTATCTTGTTTATAATTTTTGTCTCTTTTGATAAGGCGTATAAATAAATCATTTTAAAAAAATCACTAATGGTGTTTGATTCAATTTCAGATTATAATTTATTGCAATTTTTGAACTAATTTGAAAAACAAAAAAATGAGAAATATTTTTAAGTTATAAAATATAATTTTTGAAACTTATTTAAGACTCTTAAATAAACCAAACATTACTCAATATTATTTTTAAAAAATTATAAAAAAAAAAAGGTTGGGGCTTGCCTCCAGTCCACCATCTGGACTGAAAGGTCCAGTGCAGCCCATTAGGTCCACTTTTGGATCCCTTTTCGATAATCTAAACCGTTCACATTTTAAGGTTTGTTGAGTATATTATTTTTGCAAAAAATCACATCAATCGGATAACGGATACAATGTATTCAGATCACTTTTTTATGAACCGTTAATTTTCTGATCATCCATTTTTTTTTAGACAAAAGTGATCCGAACACAGAGTATCCGTTATCCGATCGATTTGGTTTTTTACAAGAATAATGTACTTAACAAATATTAAAATGTGAACGGTTCTGATTATCAAAAAGGGGTCAAAAGTGGACCCAATGGGCCGAACTGGATCGGACTGTCCCAAATCTAGACCGGAGACAGTTGGGACAGTCTGGACCAAAAAAAAAATTGGAATACCAACCCGACAGCTGCCGAAGTAGTAGATAAAATCTCTCACGTGATCCCTTCCCAATTTCAAAAAAAAAAAAATTAGAGAAAATTATAAAACAAAAAATATAAAAAATGAAAAAAAAAACTCAATGTTTGAGCGTTATAACAAAATAAATTCTGAGTTTTAATTTGATCAATTTGAATTCTAAACTTTTTATTTGTTTTTAATCTAAATAAGTTGTCTATTTTTATAAAGTAGAATTTGATGAAAATGGTTATTTTTGTCATTAAATTCAATGAAAATATTTTTTTTTTCATTGATTTTATTTAATGAAAATAGACAAATAGTTTAGATTAAAATAAATCAAAAGTTTAGTATTTAAATTGATAAAATAAAAAATTCAAGATTTTTTGTACAAGATTCAAACCTTAGATTTTTTTTTATAATTGTTCCCAAAATTTATAAATTTAATTATTAATATTTATAATATTTACTATAACTTTTTTTATAATTATTTTTTCTGACAATCATTATTTGCCTATTTAAAAAGAAAAGAGAAAAACATTGAAATGTGTGGGTGCGCACCTCTCTCTAGAATTTAGGTATCATGTAGTTAGAGAAGATTTGGTAATTTTGAAAGGGTCATGCTTAAGTGTGCAACCCTCTTAAGGTTGCACACCATATGCAACCCAATTGTTAGCTGTTAGATTACAATAATTGATCAAGACCATTGAATTGTTTAATCGTGAAAAAGTTGAAACCGGGGCAACCGGTTAATGCTTGTATTTGCATGATTGCATCCCACTCACTCTCTGTATTTCGTCTCTATCTCTCTCTGTTCTCCTCTCTGTGTAAGGTTGAGTCAGTGTAACTGTTGATTTCCATTAACAGGGAGAAGCCCCTGTTGGGTTCGTTCCATTGACGAAGCTCTGTAGGGAACAGTATAACGGGCGATTTCCAACAACAACGTAACTACAAGGCTGTGTTGGTTCCATTGCTGAAGTGAAGCCCTTCTCTCGAACTAGATATGAGGTATGGAGCTGTCTCCCTCTCTCTGTCTCCCTCTCTGTCTCTCTGGCCCGTTCACTTCAGCTATTTTCCCTCAACTAAACCCCCATCCTAACTTCAACCGCTCTACGCTTCGCTCCAACGGAAACCCCTCCATTGGCAGCTAACCTTTCTCTTTCTCTTTCTCAAGCGAGTGTTTGTGTTTGCACAAACAGGTAAACCATGTGAAAATGTCATGTTTGTGTTTGTGTTAACAATTTTCGGTCATCAAGTAATTGTTGGTAGTAATGTCATGTGCAGTATGGCCCCAGCGGAAGTTAAAAGGGAAGGTGATGATTATGAAATTCCAAATGAAGCAAATGACATTCGTTTGATGATTGAAAGTCGGGTGGAACCTTATCATGGTTGCAAAGCTGGTCTGAGCAATGAAGAAGCAACCAACATGAACGTTGAAGATGGCAGAGCCGATGTGAAAAAAGAAATGGTTGACGATGCTCATCGCAATGACATGGTTGGTAATGTTGAACGTGCTATTCTAGAACAGAAATTTGATTCGGTCAAAGATGGAGAAGATTTCTACAATGCGTATGCTAAAGCCAAGGGATTTAGTATACGAAAATCCAGATTTAACACAAATAAAGAGGGAAAGGTCATTAGTAGGCTGTGGTTGTGTTCAAGGGAAGGTCAGAGATTACCAAAATACTTGGACCGTGTTGCTGAGAAGAGTAGAGCTCCCAAGGCACTAACAAGAGTAGATTGCAAAGCCCAATTTCGCATACGGTACGATGCGGATGCTGGTGAAGGGGGAAAGTATGTTGTGACTCACTTCGTCGCAGACCACAACCATGAATTGGCGGAACAACACTGTGTGATGTATCTGAGGTCACATCGCAGTTTAAACAGCGCTGACAACGCTCAAGCAATGGCTATGCGCAATGTCGGTGTGAAGACTAGCCAAATCATGGACTATATGGTAAATCAGCCCGGGTCTTATGAGAATGTTGGTTTCATCCGCACGGATCTGCACAACCATATTCAAGCCGAACGTAGAGCAGAAGTTGAGGATGGTAATGCGCAGGGTGCGTTGGTTTACCTATGCGCAAAACTTGATGTTGATGCACGTTTTTGTTACAAGTATGATGTGTGTAACGATAACAAGTTACAAAATCTGTTCTGGGCAGATTCGAAATCGCGGGCCGACTACGCAAAGTTTGGTGATGTGTTGATATTTGACTCAACTTACAGAACCAATGCATACAAGAAACCATTTGTCATGTTGGCTGGTGTGACTAGCCACTTTAGGACCACGATATTTGCATGTGTTTTGCTAGCTAATGAGACAATTGAGACATACACATAGGTTTTGGAAACATTTATGGAGGCGATGGGAAATAAAGCACCTGTGTCCGTACTGACAGATGGGGATAAGGCGATGCGAGAGGCAATCAGAAGAGTATTTCCAGATGCAAGACATCGATTATGTAATTGGCATCTTGGGAAAAATGCTGTTTCAAATGTTCACATAAGTGGCTTTGCACATGCTTTCAAGCAGTGCATGGACATGGAAACGGATGAGACAAAGTTTGAGCATGGCTGGACGACAATGGTCGAAGAATTTGGACTTCAAACCAACAGTTGGGTGTTGGAGACATATGAGAAGCGTCATATGTGGGCTGAGGCATATATGCGTGGACATTTCTTTGCTGGGATGAAGAGCACTCAGCGCTCGGAGTGTATGAATGCTTATTTCAATCCCTTCCTCCAACACAAATTGAAGCTATATGAATTTGTTAGGCACTATGATCGGGCTCTTGCAAGGATAAGGTATAACGAGGCTGGAGATGATGCTGAAACAAATAACACTTTTCCGGTATTGATTACTCCATTGCGAGATATAGAGAGACATGGAGCTGAGCTATTCACCCGAAATATATTTAGAATGTTCCGTGATGAAATCTTAGAAAATCGTACCATGGGTTCTACATGGAAAGCTGAGATAAGAAAGGGAAAACACAAGGACCGAACTAAGGATGAGTTCGGTTTATTCAGTGGCTCTGCATAGCCAAGCTTATTTCGGTCATATAGCA